AACCCCAAAAACAAACTCTAAGCTAGGGAGATAGCTCAGTGGAATAAGTGCTTGACTGGCAAGCTCAAGGTCCTGAGTTCGATTGCTGGTACTGGAAAAAAAAAAGAAAAACTCTAACATAACCCATGGACTTCAGGTACTCACTCATGGTGACAAATGTCATCCAGATGCAGTGTATTAACAGTGAGGGAATCAGGCATGGTGGTGCCTGCCTATAATCCCAGCACTCAGCAGGCTGAGGCAGGAGGATAGGCACGAGTTCAAGGCGAGCCTGGACTACATACCAAGACCCTGTCTCAAAACAAAAACAAGTCACAAACAGTGAGGGAGAAGCAGGGGTCTTATAAGGACTCATTTTCTGCTTGGTTTTGTTTTGAACCTTAATCTGTACCTAAATTTGCATAATGAGACCCTGTCTCAAAAAAGGCAACAAAAAGGTTTTAAATCAAAAGAATTTAGAACACCATTGACTGTGGGATTAGGGCAGAACCTATGGTGAAGTTCATGCTTAGCATGCACAAAGCAATCTACCAACACCAAAGCATTCATTAAAACTAAAATGCCATGGGGGCTGGTGAGATGGCTCAGTGGTCTAAAGCACCTACCTAGAACGAGCTAAGCAAAGCACAGGGACCGCGGTTCAATCCCCCAGCACCACATGCCAGCCAGCCCCGCCCCCTGGTGGGCTGAGCTGGCCACACACACACACACACACACACACACAAATAAATAAATTAAAAAAAAAAACAAAGCAAACAAACAAAAAAAACCCTAAAATGCCAGGGGGCCAGGGAGATGGTTCAGTAGAATAAGTGCTTCCCTGGCAAGTGCAAGGGCCTGAGTTCAAAACCCTGGGGGGAAAAAAACCAAAAAACTTAAACTAAAATGCCGAACACAGGGCCTTCTCTGTGTTATCCAGGAAACTACTGAGTGGCCTGAAAGATCAGGAACTCTCCCGTGCAGACACCATTGAAATGCTTTGCATAGATGAATTGATAGTCAGATTTATGACAATTGCCTTTGACCACAGAACTTGGGTTGTGTTGTTGGCTTAGTCAGGGAAACATTGATTTCTCAGAATGGGAAGCAGAGACTTGAGGATCAAAAGTTTGAGGCAGCCTGGGTAGCTTGCCTGAGGCCATGTCTTAAAATGAAAAAAAAAGTAAAGAGGGCTAAAGGGAGAGCTCAGGGCAAGACCCTGGGTTCAAACACCAGCACCACAAAAAGTAAAATAAATATTTTGCTAAGCAAAGTTAATAGCATTGCTAATCTATTAAATGGAGAAGCAATATGCAAATGTAGTATTAATTGCAACACTTAAGGTTAAGAAGTCTTTAATTGGTAATAAAACTATTAATCTAAGACATTCAATGTATATCCAAAGAAATTAAGTCTATAAGCCTTTCTAAAGCTTTGCTTTTGCTGCTAAGGATAGAACCCACGACCTTACTACGCAAGCACGTACTACCACTGAGCTACTCTAATCTATTTTTAAATATACGTATAAAATTCCATAATTTTTTCCAGGGAATGCATTAATGGTCAGGAGATTATACCTCAAATTGCAGATACAATGCACATGAAACCAAGCTCAACTTAGTTTTCACATTGTCGTTTTTGGTACAGGAACCGCACTCAGGACCTCAGGGTTGCCAGGCAGGCACTATGCCACTGAGCTATATCCCCTGCCCTTTGACAAGGTCTTTAATGTGGTCATCCACCCCAGGGGCACCTACCACGGAGCTACACCCCAGGCCTTTTTAATCACTTTGAGATGAAGCCTCAGTAAGTTGTGCAGTCCAGCCTCAAACCTGCATTCTTCTCCACTCAACCTGGGCAGCAGCTGGGACTGGGCATGCAGCACCCTTCCTAGCTGGAGTCAAAAGTTTGATTTGCGTCCCCGTGGCACTTGGAAAGGGAGTGCCAAAGCACCCTTACACAGCCCGAACCAAGAATTTTAAAAAGATGATTAGCCCAACAGCTTATCCATTCACCTAAAGGTCAGATAATAAAAAGGACTACACAGCAAGACTAGAAAAGTAGCAGCATGACACAAGGAGCCCACGTGAACATTCAGGACATTTTGCTAATGGCACTATTCTTTACATGTGTAAAGATCTTAGGAAGAAAACAGAAAAGAACAATTAACAAGTTCCCTTTGACCTGTCCACATTCAAAATGCCTAAAGCACAGAGGCCCTGTCCCAGGAGCTGTGCCAGCCCTGGGGTGCTGAGAGAGAGATTGAGACTGGGAGGGTGGTTCACACCTGTAATCCCAGCTCTTGGGAGGCTGAACACAGGTGGATCATTACGAGTCCAATCTACATAGTGAGACCCTGTAGACCCTTACTAAAAATACAAAAAAAGCCTAAAGCAGCCTGGTGTGGTAGTGCACGCCTGTAATCCCAGCACTCGGGAGGCTGAGGCAGGAGGATGGCTGCAAGTGCAAGAGCACCCTGAGCTACAGCTACAAGGTGGGCTCAAGGCCAGCCTGAACTGCATAGCGAGACCCTCGCTGGCATTGAGAACCCGTCTTTAAAAAAAAAAAAAATACAATCTCAGAACCTCCCATTTATAGGGATGGATACTGACCAATACCCCTAGGGAAACCTTTTTTGTATGAGGAATTGAACTCAGGATCCCACTCTTGCCAGGAAGGTGCTGTGCCACTGAGTTATATCCACAGCCCTAGAGTTCTTTATAAATTCATAGTAAACTGCCCTTCCTACTGAAGTGTCCTAGGATAAGTGTATGAACTTCTCTTCCTCTCTCTACTGCTAGTTTCTCTACTGCTAGTTTTGTACAGCGGATGCATTACTTCTGAGCTCAGAGCCCCAGCTTCAACCCCCCGCCCCAGATGTATGTTTTCACTGCAACCAGGAGCCTGGCACCAGCTAAGGACTGAGCTGTCCCCCAACCTGGCCATACTGGAGCCCTAGTCCCTAATGTGCCTATACCTGGAGACACGGTCATAAAAAACGTCAGTTAAATGAGGTTATAAGGACAGAAACAAACAGTTAGCTTCAGGTCTAGTGTTTGTGTTGCAGGGTTGTTTTTGTTTTGGGTTTTTTTTTTGGGGGGACAGGGTCTTGCTTTGTAGCTCAAGCTGATCTTGAACTCACTATATAATGTACACTGGCCTTGAGCTCTAGGGAATCCTCCTGCCTCATCCTCTTGTGTGCGGAGATTACAGGTATGCGCCACCATGGTCAGCCCTGGCCTCAGCTCTTGACAGTGCATGAGAAAATTTAAGTCAGTCAGTCAGTCTGTCTGTACATATGTCTGTCTACCCCCCCTCTCTCACACTTACACACACACACACACACACACACACACACACACAGATATCCTGACAGTAATTTAGGTTCTACTTCAAGATGCTTCTTACAGCAGCTTTGGAAGAACTTCCTCTACACAGGTTCCCATCCCATACATCAGCACTGCTTTGTTTTTTTGCACTGCTAGGGATCAAACCCTGGGTATTGCGCCTGCGGGGCAAGAGCTCTACCACTGAGCTACACCCCTAGCCCCTACATTAGCACTTAATACAACAGGTCACTCATAATTTTTAGGATTATATAACCTACATTTACAATATGTAATGCATCACATATACTCTTGGCATGTAGAGAATCTGAGGACAACCCCAAGCTCATGCTGTCACTCCTAAAGATGAGTTACTAAAACCATCGTGATGGGGTGGGAGTCAAGAGGTAGCCAGTGAACTGCAGCAGGTAATGGAGAGACAGGCAACCACTACCAAGTACAACGAAGCCCAAGGTAACTAGGACCAAAGACTTTGGGACCTGCATTCCCTCATAAAACTCGATCTCTAAATCCATTCATCAGCTATTTAAATTCAGTTTAAAAGGCAGGGCTACATAGTGAGTTCGAGACTAGCCTGGACTACATAGCAAGACCCTGTCTCACAAAAAAAAAAAAAAAAAGAAAAAGAAAGAAAGAAAGAAAAAAGAAAAAGGACCGGAGACATAGTTCAGCAGTCCCGACACCTGCCTGGCAAGCACAAAGCCCTGGAGTTCAATTTCCGGTACCAAAACAAACAAATTAAAAAATTAAATTTGGTTTAAGAGATCTTTTGAAAGATGCCGACAACTGTGCTACTGGCTCCTCCTAGCACAGTGCACAGGCAAATTTTGGACAGGACAATCTCATCCATATACTGACAAAGTCTAAAGCATTTAGAAATTTTTTGAATCAGCCATTTTTCTCCCTGGAGCGATATTTTCAAAAAGATTCTTGGCTGATCATTTGAAGGATACACTCTGTCATCGCGGCAACATCCAGCTTGTCAATGTCAGGCGAACCGGGGCAACATTTCTTGAATTCTTTTCGAAGATCAAAAAAGGAATAGAAGCATTCAGGTAGTAAGACATTCTGAGGAAGGACAAGGTAGACACTGTTAACATGGAATGTGGCTCACTGTTTCCCTAATAACTAAGAATCAAAGAACTGAATACAAGCCTATCTCACCATATTTTAAAATATAAAGCTTAAAGTGGTCTTTTAGAATAGCTGCTCCTATTGTTGTTTTAGATCCTATCTCACCGAAAAATTTTATTTTAATGAAAGATATGCAATCTTGGTGTCCCATTACGTATTTCATTCAAAACTTTCTGGAAGCTAGAATACATTTGGGCTGCTATATTTTATGTTATTATATATTTTGTGTCATAATATCCCTTTTCCAAATATAATCATTTTAGACCATCTGTGGTTTCAGGCATCTATTTTCATACAGAGAAGTTGTAAAACTTAGTAGGTACCAAAACAAACAAATTAAGGGGCCAGGGAGATGGCTCAATGCAATAAGCACTTCCCTGGCAAGCACAAGGACCTGAGTTCAATCCATGGTTCTGCAAAAAAAAAAAAAAATTTAAAGCTACTGTTGGGCTCTAATAATGTATATTTTCAGTAGTAAGATAAATTAAAAATGGTAAATACCCAATTAGCTGACAAAGATCACTTTGTGCCAAATTCAGTCCCACAATGGTTTTCCTACCCACTATTCTGGCTGTATTTTAGAACTCAAAACACAAGTTGTAAAATATATATCATGAATCCCAAAGAAAGGAGAATGGTCACCTAATGTTCTTAGCTACAAGTACCACTTTTGTGGTTATTAAGCAAAGTTTAATAGTATGGAAAAATATGACACCATTGTTTATAGTTTTTATGACCCAAACCCCTCAAGTATCTTAAAAATAATTTCATTTTTGTTTTGTTTTGGGGGGTTTATTTTTGGCACTGGGAATTGAACTCATGGTCTTGTGCTAGCCAGGTAGGTGCTGAGCCACTGAGCTATATCCCCAGTGATAATTTTTTGTTTTTGAGACAGGATCTTACTACATGGCCTGGCTTATCTAAAACCAAAGTCCCTCCTGCCTCAGCCTCCTGAGTGCTAGGATTACAAGCCTGGACCATCATGCCAGGCAGACTTTTCATTAAGTTTCACAATAGTGCCTGCCTGGCAAGCTCAAGGTCCTGAGTTTGATATCCAGTACCCTACCCCACCCCCAAAAAAACCTCAAGATGGTCTATGTTCCCTTACTGGGAATTTCTACCCACTTACAAGTTAGAAAAATGAAGGAAATGGTCTTTTTAACGTTTGCCATTTATACAATACCTATCTAAGTTCCTCCCATTAAGTCCTATCAGATATGATATGCTCATGCTATATTTGAAATCAGTATCACTGCATCATGGTCCTAAGTCACCATAGTCACAGATCCTTCCAATTACCTACAAAAAAACTCACTGAAGAGCCTATAACAGTAACTCATATGGGCAACAATGAAGGCTCAATGCAAACAGCTGTACCTGTTTAAAATACTATTTTATTTAGTGCTTATTAAAAAAAGGTGCTAAGCATTTTTTGTATAGTATGAATGCTCCTTACAAAAAGGCTGTTTTTCCACAAAAGCCTCAAAGAATATATCCAAATTTATTCTTGTTAGCAAAAAACTTTTTAATGTATCATTTGCGCTGGGGTTTTTTCCCGTTTTGCCATTTGCCTATCAGTGAATATACAGTTACTTTTTAAATTTTATTTTTATTTATTTTTTTGTGGAACCGGGGATTGAACTCAGGCCCTTGCGCTTGCCAGGCAAGCGCTTAATCTACTGAGCTATCTCCTTGGCCCCCAGAGTTACTTTTGTTATGTTGCTAAATTGTTCTAGTTTCTTGCATTTAATCCTAATAGAAGTGGTTGAGGAAACTTTTCCCTTGGTAGATTTCCCCATGTCCAAAGCAGTCCACCTAATATAATGCAAGACAGCTGTTTCCCTCCAGCCTAATAAGGGAAGCATCCAGTCTTGTCCCTCCCCAAATACATTTTGAAGAAAAAAGAACCCTCAAGTGTGTCTATTTATGGATCAAGGATAAGGCAACTGGTCTAGCATTTTAAAAAAACAAATAATTACTAAGATTCCTGTCAAAGGAGTGGAACTTGTTTCTCCAGGCAGACTTTTAAAATTTTACAATTAGCCAATTTCACAGCTTTCCCTACTTTGAGAGAATAAGCAGGAACGTGGCACTGGCTGCACTTGCCAGTGTCATCAATTGCCAATCTACGATGCTTCTGCTATCCAAAAATATCTTTTCAAACTCTTGCGATGCTCACCTACCACAATAAAAGGGCACAGCTCCAATCAATTTAAGTTATTGAAAGCAAGTACATCAGCAATGACTGGCCACAGCAGGCAGCTGTCTGTGTGCCTCATTGTCCTATGGCCCCTAAATACTCTTCCCAGGGAAAGAAATCATAGTCTATTCGCATAAGAGTGTGTTTTCTCACTTAGCACTCAGAAAGGTTAGCAAAGGGCCATGCCTGTAATTCCAGCTCCTGGGGAGGCTGAGGCAGAAAGCTCACAAGTTCTACACCATCCTGAGCAATTCTGTAAGACCTTATCCCATAAAAGCAGCTCCTTTATGCTGACTGCCCCCACTCCTCTGTGCATTGCACATACCAGCTTTCAGTACCAGGGCTCAAACTTGCCCATTCTCCTGTCTCAGCCTCTCAGAGTGCTAAGAATGCACCGTAGCCTGGTGTTACCTCCTTAGGAGAAAGCATTTCCACAAATATATTACAATATACTAAAATCTTTCTTTCTTCCATATTTGTATTTTATTTATTTTTTGGGGGGGAGGACCAGGAATATAACTCAGGATGCTCTTACCAGGCAGGCACTGTGCTGCTGAGCTATATCCCTGGCCCCTCAATTTATTTTAGGTGTCAAAAATTGAGTTTCCCATACTAACTTTGGAAAAGAGGGAATGTCAAGAATCTTGAAATTTAACAAGAAATTGCTTTTATAGATAATCTTAGTTCCGCCCCCTCACTACAGGCTAGACATCTCCATACAACTGTCATGCGTTTTTAATTGCGGGAAAATTACATAATATTAAATTTATCCGCTTAGCAAGACCATCACCCTCTTCCAGCACTTTGAAAATCGTCTCAAAATGAAACCCTGTACCCGTTTAAACAGTAGCTTCCCGCCGCGGCTTTTCCGAGGGAGATTGATTCGGATATAACATTTCTTCAAAGCCTCCCAGGGTCGTCAAAGTCCTAGCATTGTTCCCAAGCCGCATGCTTACCTTCTTGGAAGCCTCAGGATGCAGGATCTGCCTGATGTGCAGTTGCCCGTCTGTACAGAGGCAGAAGGAAGTCCCCACCCCAATATTCAGCTCATTGCTCACGGACTGGTTAAACTGAAAGAACACACAGGGGGACGAGGAGACGCCGGCTTTGTAAACTCCGGACGCGGCCCCAAAGGTACCGGCCCCTGGGGTGATATCAGAGCCAAACGCGCAGAGGACCCGGAAGACATCGAACTGTCTACAAACCAAGGACGCTTTCAAACCAATTCGTTGGTCAACGCTTGTCTCCTTTGCCCACCCCCTCTATTTTTACAAGAGATTCACCCAAATCCGATCATCTCGTTTCAACAACAGATTGCCTTTAGGTTACATCATTTCTGGGTGTGACTTTTTATTTGTACGCGGCAGGTTTAGGAAACATAACCCGTTTCTGATTGAAAAGAAAAAGAAGGGTAGTGGACACAGAGCTCTGGGAAGGCGGGTGATACTTCTCCCCACATGAACCCAGGAACGGTAACTTTCTCCTACGACCCCATCTCGCGTGCCAGGACCGGGCTCAGGGCAGTCACTCCGCACAGGTGCGGGCACCCCGCCCGGCCCTATGAAGCAGCCGCCAGCACCCGGGTTGCCGGGTTTTAGGTCACCTCCAACCCTGAAGAAGGTTCCACCGGCTCCATGGTGGCCCAGCTGAGCAGCCCACAGGTCCGGACCTGCAAACCCTTCCCGGGATTGGGCCCAACACCGCCTCAGGAGCGGAGCTGGAACTTGGCCTAGCTCTGGGAATCCAGAGGCTGAAACTAGAGGCTGAATCCAGAGGCGGGCACTTTCAGACGGCGGCGAAAACCGGGGGCGCCTCCAGCATCGCGCGCGCCACAGCGCCCCCTGCTCCCGCCGGACCACAAACCCCAACCCATCTGGGACCCGAGCTCCTGGGGTCCGGACCTGGACCTCGGGGCGTTGAGACTCCAACCCCGCCTCCGGCCCGCAAGACCCCGCCGACTCTTCGGCCCCGGGAGAGACTCAGGAAGTGACCCTAAGACTCGCGAAGTTGGACCCCAGACCCCCCAGGCGACCGCAGCCGCCCCTCCTCCACGTCCTCCCGGGCCCCAGTCCGGCCCCACCCACGCGTGCTCTCCCAGCAGCGTCCGGAGGACCTGCGGCGGCCGCCCCGAGGGGTGGGGCAGGGCAGAACCCGGCCCGGCTGGGGCCGGGGTGGGAGTGGGCGGCGTGGGCCAGGCTGTCACCTGTCGCAGGGCTTGGTCCAGCTGCGGAGCGGAGGACAGGCTGTCGGGGTCTATTTTCGTTTCTTCTTTACAGTCCTCAGTCAGTTCCAAGTGATCCGGCCTAACGAGTGCTTCGTGCAACTGTCCCACCTCCGAGCGCAGAGACCCAGGGTCAGGCTCCCCCTCCACTCCAGGGCCGCTCGCGCCCCCGCCCCGCCCCCACCCGGATCAGGTCGCCAAGGCCCCGGAGTGGACCCCAGGGCCCAAGAAGGCCGCGGGGTCTCGGCCCGGCGTCCTCAGCCCGGAAGGCAGCCCGGTTCGACAGCGCCGGACCGGGTTCCGAAGGCTGAAAAGGGCTCCAAGGCGCTCGGCCAGCGAGTTCGGTTTCCCTGCGGATTCTCCAGGCCTCGGGTCTAGACTCGCGAGTGGGCAGAAGCGAGGGCACCCCCCCCATCTCCAACAAACTTCTCGCCCCACTCCTCGTCTCAGGGCCGCCCCGCGAGAAGCTACCTTCTTGTTGGCCAGATCCACGACCTTCCACAGCAGCAGGATCAGCTCCTTCTCATCCGAGCCCAGCTTGGCGCCAGTGGCCCCAGCGGTGATCCCAAAAAGCACCACCAAGTAATCCGGAGACGCCGTCATGGCGAGAGGCTGGGAGGAGAGCGGGGCCGGGCGGCGCGCGGGTGGGAGTGGGGTCGGGGAACCCCGCGCGCGGCAGGACCTCGTCCGCCTCTGAGCAGAAGAAAGCGCGCCCACCCCCGCTCGCGGCCGCCGGGCAAAAGGCGGTCACCGCCCGGAGCCCGCACCTGGCCGCGCCGCGCACCGGGGCAGGAAGGGGCGGAAGGAGGCGCGGGGCCGCCCTTTTTGTATTCACTCGCCCGTGCGTCCGCGAAGCCGGAGCACGGCTGCACCCCGGCGGCGCGCGCAATGGCTGTGTTTGGGGAGGCGGTGCAGCCTGCCCGCCCCGGCCCGGCCCGGCGGCCCCTCCCCCAGCGGCGCAGGTAGGAGACACCTGGCGGCGCCGCCCATTGGCTCCTTCAAACCACGACGTGGCAGCGGCGGGGGAGGAGGCCGCTCGGGGAGGGGGGAGAGGCGGGGGACAATGGCGCGATGAATGGAGAGGCTGGGGCCGAGGGACAGGGGGAGGCCCGAGGGGCGGGGACGAGGCGACGGCCACCCCAAGGGCAGAAGAGGCGGGCAGGAAAGAGGGTGAGGGGCTCGGGGGCGGAGCCGCGGGCTTGGTAAGTCCAGAACCGGCCCTGAGGCTTGGGGGTCTCGAGGAGAGGTTGGCGGCCGGAGGTCCCGGGGGTCCGGCGATAAGAGGCCAGAGGTGAGGCCCCGGGTGCGGGGCTGCCGGGGTGCGGCGCCCGGGCGGGCGAGCCGGGGGAGGGACGTGCCCGCGGCAGCCGGGAGGTGGCGAGGGCAGTGGGCGAGACCCGGAAAAGCCGCTCCTGGGCGCACCTCTCCTCGCAAACGGCGGGAGCCCTGCCGCGGTCCCTCCCATGGCCAGGCCCAGCTTTCGGGGAGCGGCCTCGCGCGGCCACCAAGTCACCTCTGGACGGGGCGACGCACGGCGCCCGAGGCAGCCGAGGGACTTCACTCCTTGCTACACCTTGTTTGCCCCGGGTGCTAGTTGAAGATCGGAAAGTCCTCCAGGGCTGGGGCCCCGCTTCTTTTGATTTGCTTTGAGCTTCAAATACATTGCACCTACTCCTGTGCCTAATAAAAGATTTTCCACGATCAGGTCAAGCGAACTTTTTCTGAATTCTCCATTTGGACCCCGTATGCTCTACTTGTGTTTTTTAGCTTTTTTTTTTTTTTTTTTTGAGACAGGGTCTCACAATGTAGCTCATGTCGACCTCGTACTCGAGGTGATTCTCCTGCCTCAGCCTCCCAAGCCCTGTGCTTGCAGGCGTGCACCTACCTGCCTTTTGACTTTTTAGTGTGTCGACTTCGTCAATATTTCAAACAATCCCCCTCCCCCAACTCAACTCGAGCTGCCCAGAGGCTCGTGCACCCGCAGTCCCCAAGTCGGGTGGCAGTGCACTGAATTATGTTGACGCTTTAGAAAAGCGCCAGAAATGGAATTTGTTGGGGCATTTTTATTTCCACGCGGTCTATTCTTGGGAAGAGATTCCGCCTGAAGTCGGTCCCCTTCAGCCCAGGGCCCAGCCCTGCGTGTTCATGCTGTGCAATCAGGTTAACCACACACCTCTCCCTGCGGGAGCCGCGCCGGGTGAAAACCCGTCGGGTTCAGGGGACGCGGAATCAGAGCAGCTGGCGACCCGGCTTCCCGGGGAGGGGCGAGGCGCCGGGGCGGAGCGAGCCGAGGTCGCGCACGTTCCCTGGCCGGCCCAGGTGCGGGCGAGGCGGGACGCGGGGAAGCGCGCGCGTCCCCCGGGAGCGGGCGAGGCTGGGTCTCACGCTGGCGATCCGCACGGTCCCGCGGGGACACTAGGCACCGCCCCCGGAGGCGGCCTGGGCCGCAGAGTCGCAGGTCCCGCTCTCCGGAGCTGCAGGGTGTGGAGTCACCGCTGGGCCCCGCCCTGGCGCAGGTATCTCCGTGCCACCCGCCCTGGCTCTCGGGCGTCGCGGGGGCAGGGACTGGGTGCGGAGCGAGGCCGGGAGGGACCTGGACAAACCACCCAGATTGCATTGCAGTGGGCGAGGCTGCCTGGCAGAGCCGGTTCCCCGGAGCTGCCCGCCGCGGGGAGCCTCGCGCGCGGCTCCCATGCGCCCGGCCCGGCGGGGCCCAGGTCGGGAAGCCAGGCGCCTTGCATCGCCACTGCGGAGAAAGTGATTAGAGCAGCCGCGGAAACGTGGCCTTTGTAGGGGTTGAGTGTTGGAATCCATCGTCCCTACAGCGCGTTTGGACTTAGTAAATCTTTAGCTTAGTAGCTGGGATCTGCGGGAGCATGAGCCGAAGTAGAACCAGAGCTCTTCCTTCTAGCTGCCCCGCTTGCCAAGCACTGGCTTCCTCCTGCTTTCGGTCGTTGCATCCCTGAGTTCCCACTTCTTTTCTCCCGGGAGGGGGTGGGGGGTGTGGTCTGTCCAACATGACGGGATATTTTTGCTTTGTTCTGGAATACTATATTCTTGGGGCTTGGAAAACAGCCTCGCACGCTATTCACTCAACAAATATTTGTTGGATAGCTGTTAAGATCGCCCACCCCTCTGTGTCGCTCTTTGTCTTCCCCCAACGGAGGGCAGAGTTCATCCTTGCAGAGGCAAGATCCTCCACTGCAGAGGTTACAGGTAATTAAAGGCTCAAATGTTTGGAAAGAGTAGGGACTAATTCCCCATAAACTTTTATTAAATTAAACTCATAAAAGGCGAGAATGTCAAGGGTGGGAAATCTGTGTGATACGAGGGAATGGGTTCTGGATGAGAAATGTCTTCTAGCCTGTCACCAGCCTCGATTTACAAAGTCTGCGGAAAAATAATCTGGAAGGAGGAGGAGGGGCAGCCGGGGCAGCCGGTCGCGTCAGCCCTCAAGATCACACCTAAACCTCCCAAAACAAAGGAGATTTTTTTTTTTTTTTAAAGAAAGTAGGCGGGACCCAATTGAGAAACCGGATACAAAGTAACTGCCTGGTAGTGTAGTCTGGAAGTGTTCAGGCCTGAGAAGGGAACTGGAGACTAGTTTTGGGTTAGAGTCTTAAGAGAAATGAACTAGGATCTGAAAAAAAAGTGTTTCTTGTTTTTTTCGGTGCTTTTTTTTTTTTTTTCTTAATTAATGGAACATTAGGCAAAATTTGAGGAAGATCTGTAGATTAGACAATTGTGTTATATTTGTTAATTTCTGCGTTGTTGTATTACCAGGGTTTAGCAACAGAAAGCCGCTGTTTTAAAGGAGTAGCTAACAGGTGTTTAGGGATGAAGAGAAATCGTGTGAATTGCTCTCAAAAGGTTCAGACAGAATTATATACTTAGAAGGCTGGGGATATATACAACTCAGTGGTTGAGTGCCTCTTGCCTAGAAGGTTCCAGGCCCTGGATTCAGTACACACACAAACACAGAGTGATAAAGCAGCTACAGTAAAATTGTTTCCACTAGAGAATTTGGGTAGGGGAAGGACCCCCCACACACACACTATTGGAAGTTTC